TTTTTCCTTTATGTCTGTGTAATGAGCCAAGAGAGCTGAAATAGTAATTTGACACTGACAAAACACAAAAGAAAATATTATGCCAATAATACTATTCTTTCAAGTTATTTTCATCTATTCTTTTCTTTTTGCAGTGTAATATGGTTAGTATGTAACTGTGGGTGAACGTTATTTGAATTTGTAACGTGAACACTTTTATTTAACATATTTACCGCTTACAGTTCGTCGTGTATTACTACAAAAAAAAAACTAAAACATAATTACAAGGCTCATTTTGCCACTAGCCTTTTAATATCCCCTCATAATTCTCTATAATATGCCAGCATATTTCACATTGTAAATATTGAACCGCAATTTGAATAACATAATGTATGATTAAATAAGATTAAAACTTAGACCTATGAATATCTGTATATTTACAGATTTACAAATGAGATACTAAAGCACTCATTACGAGAACTGTAAACGTGCTTTTTTCCACAATTCGCTGATACAAAGTAAGGGAGAGTTGACAGCTATAATAACAGTTAAGAACCCTTAACAACTTCTGAACAAAATAAATGGAACACCAATCTCAAATTCTAAGATTGTTAAGAAATATTCAGGATTTTATTGAGCGTGTGATTTTCTGTTGACCTTCTGCAATAGGAAATATCCTGTTGAATATAACTATGCTTATAACATATTTGATTCGTAAAGTTTGTGATAAAATGAGGTTCGCGTGATTGTATTTCAATTTCCCTTTCAGAAGAGGCCACTGGGGGTTTCTTAAATGTAATTATCAATAATGGAACAACATAAGAAAGGAATACTGATTGTTTTTCGAACCTCATCTCTACAATGCAACTGTTTTTTTGTTTTTTCAAAGAAATCAAAGCACTGAATGTACTGATGGGGAGGCTATGAGAGAATCTTTCAGACTTATAGTTTCTTTTCTTTTTGCTTAAAATATGCTACCAAAATAAAAAGATATGCACATTGCGCTATTTATTCTTACTGTTGTGTTCAACCATTCATATATATGGTTAATGAGGTTGACTATTCATTTTGTTAATATTCCAGAACATTTAATTAAGGTCTACATTCGGACTGTTAATCATGCAAATTTTGAAAAACCTAAACTGTCAATAATAAATGACATACCAGCAAGTATGACGACTGTTCATTATCAGATAACAATAACATTTTACAACTGACGGTTCCTTATCAAAATATTCTAGGACTGTTCATCATAAATATTTTATGTCATTTTAATATTATTGAATGATAATAACAACTGCAAGTGATGCAACATTTTTATTGAACATAAAAATTGTACACGTTTAGATGTACCATAATTGAGATCAATAAGATACTGTCTTGTGATGAGTATTAACATTCATGCTCTACGGACAGAAGGTTGTCTTCTTCAGAAGCAAATCTCGAATAAAATCACGTTTCAGAAAATTAATCCCATTTCATTACTGACGGCGTCGGATAATATTAAAGCTAAATATTTCTTGAAAAATACATCTCTGCAAAGCTTATTCAAAACTGAATCAACCTAAGTGAAAATTGATCAGGAAGTTATATCTTCTTTTTTTACCGCCAACACTCAACCAACTTATGGTAGTTAATCGATAGATTCTACGTGTATTTTTAAACCTCACTAGCTTGAAATATATACTGCGGAAAATCTGTTGTTAACAGGGTGTGCGGTTATTACGTAGGGTTTTCCCTGTCGACCATTTCCCGCAAATAGATGAGAACATCGAAGCCGTCAGTGCTATGAATGGTGTTATAAATGGCGTGTTTTGGAAGTTTTTGTTGAAACTTCTCCAAATACCTCCAGAGGCGTGCACGTCGCGGAGAAGGCACACGGAAGGTCATAGTCAAGTCATCATAAGTACCAGAGGTGATTGGTTGACCTGTCGTGACTTACTCTGGAGGTTTGGCGCTAATAGATGCCGTTTTTGTTGTCGTCAGTCAGAAAGTTGATGCCTTGACGGTATTGTCGTCTCCTTTACCACAAAAGAACGAAGAATGGACTTCCAGGAAGAATCTGCTTGAAAAAGACGTCCCAGATGCTATAATCTCGGACATATGGTTATTCCGGCGCCGAGTATAAATAAACTTAAAACACACACACTTTTGTTGAAAACAAAACAACAACACATTTTCTGTAGTAATTTTTCAAGTGTTGTAAAATGAATAAGAAATTCCTCTTATGCCGCCCATTATTTTTAGAACACAACCATAAAAGTTCTTTTTTTTATTTTTCAAATAAACATTTATCACTTCAGCGCGAGCAAATATCGGTTTCAAATTAGTTTCGTAAGATATGTTAATGACTTCCCGATGCTCGACTGTAAGTAATTTGTATATGTATGCGTTTTTTTTTTGTTTTTGTTTTTTTAATTAAAGCTTCTTATTCTTTAATATTTTTTATGTATCTCATAATCTGTATTGAAAATTTAAATTTTATTACACATGGACTATCAAATTATGATGTATGCCCTAGAATTGAATAAACTTTCTAATTACACAATACGGGTCATACTGATCTTTGCGTCTTTCTATGAAATAATTATTTCCTTGTTAAAACATATTTGACCACATATTTCTGTCAATTAACTGTTCACTTTACTTCCGATTTTTGTTGTACGGAAACACATGTTTCTATTTGTGTTTTCTAATCAATTCGAATCTATAATCAGTTTAATGGGATCACCACCGGGTAAACGACTACTAGGTACTTTGGTCATGTTTTTTACCACAAATATTTGAATGTTTCTATTGGGATTAAAATGAGCATAGTTAACTAAACAACTGTTTGTATAAATTCCTGACCTGTCTAATTCTAATTATGAGATTAGTGAATATATAAGACTTTCACTACAAAATATTCCTAAACAAAAGAGCACATGTTTAAATTTATTCCTATACAAATAAAAGATCAGAGTAGGGATCTGTCAATTACCAAAGATACTTTTATGTTAAAAGTTTGATTAATGAATTATGTAAGATGAAAATATAAGTATTGCTTTTTTTATTTTGCTAATGTAAAATGTAATATTGTGCTGGAATTTTGTCGGAGGTCCTTAGGGTTTTTTTAGTTAAATAGTTTTTTTTCGGCGATAATGGTTAAAGAATATAATGTTTTTAAACTATATGTTCATCACCATCAGTGAATTTTTAGTTAAATGTATGCAAAATATTTACTAAACAGCTATATTATTTAACGGTTTATGAGCGTTTTCCGCGTACAGCCTCCTGGGGTGTACAAATAAGTTAGTTTTCCTTAGTTATCACGCAAGCATGATCCATGTCTCTGATGTAAGCGACAGTTTAAAATTATTTGTCTTTAAAAAATATTAAGGACTATTAATAGTTTATAACAACAAAAGAACATGCATGATATTGAGAATACGGTGTTGCAACGTTCTAGTTAATGACCCGTCATAAACAGTTGGTCGCTGCGTAGTAATTGGAAAATTGTTATCAAAAATAATAAAGAATATTTGCCACTGAATTAAAGCATTTACTTATAAATTTTCATTTATGCTTTTTGTTTAAAATTATGGATAAAGTTATTATTTTGAAGGGTTTTCATACCAGAACTATTTATTACAGACGTACGTATGCCTAAACCTGATTACCGCGGCAGTATGACGTCACGGAGTAGTGATTTAAACAAAAATCAAGAATTTTTCAGAGAATTATTATCTTTACAAATTGCAGATATGAAATTAAAGAATGAAAATATTTTCATATTGTAAATGTCTGTGATGAGTGATGAGTCAGCTTAGAAAAAATCAAGGTACTATTTTTTGACCTGATTACCGCGGCAGTATGACGTCACGGAGTAGTGATTTAAACAAAAATCAAGAATTTTTCAGAGAATTATTATCTTTACAAATTGCAGATATGAAATTAAAGAATGAAAATATTTTCATATTGTAAATGTCTGTGATGAGTGATGAGTCAGCTTAGAAAAAATCAAGGTACTATTTTTTGACCTGATTACCGCGGCAGTAAGATTTGACAGACAGTTATTAACATTGGGTCGGCATAGCCTCCCCAAAAATCACGTCATTATAATTAGTTTGTATTTTTTACGTCATTATAATTAGTTTTTTTTTTTTATTATTACGATTTTATCACAAGTATAGCCAGCTAGGCAAAATATAACTAGTACGATAATTCTTCCACACAATGAATAGCTGCAGATATATCTTTAAAGCTTTTAATTCATATACAACACAAGTATAGCAGATTCCTTGTTTTACCGTTTTTTAATGATATGATTATATAACGACGTCAAAGATGACAGATTCCCTGTTTTAATGCTTTAAAAAAAGCATAAGTATGTATACATATTTTGACAATTCATTTGATGAAAGATGAATTTGAGTGAAGTGGTAGTTTACGCTATACTGCCTTTTCAATTTTTTACAGTTAATAGTTTAAATATATTGATCGAAAAACATTTTTATGACGTCAAGTAATTATAAGGAACAATCGTGTTTGTTGGTTTTTCTGAAAACAAATGATTGAAATATACATTATTGATAAAAAAATTTCTGTCATAATTATGGATGGTCAGTTGTAAATGCCGTCTGCGAAGAGCTAAAATGACGTAATATGGCCTTCAAGAGAATTTACGGTTGTCACGAACTGTACTTTAAATGACAAATTTGTCAGAACTAGACAAGTTTTAGTGTATTAAGATATTCGGTTTTCAAAGCACTTTTACAAATCTTTGGTTTATTTTAAAGCATGCATTCCTACGTCTTAAATCTTAAGAATTGCTGTATGGTCAAAAGTTATTTGCTGGCAAATAGCTGCATTGACCCAAAAGTGTTGAATTTAAAATTATCTTAACAATGAAGATAAAATTCGTTTATATGCCATCAGTTTGTCGCCTGCAGTTAACAGAAAAGTGAAACGAAGGGCCGATGAATGCTCAGACCTTCTGTATGAAATATAAACAAACATCAATAAAGGCTGAAGGATCTTACCTGGATCTTGCAAAGGGTCCCCACCATGTATCGCCAATATGTCTACAGTACCATCTCCGTCTATGTCTTTGATGATCTGAGCCGTGTACAAGTTCATTATGTCATTCTTTGCTTCTTGTTTACCGAAATTCCAAATCAGAGACCCGTCTTTTCCGCTCACAGCTTGGAAAGCCTATATTAAAGAAAATATTAACAAACAAATGTGTTATATGTGAAACATTGTATTAAACTTTGACAGTTCGATTATCCACTTGTTAAAAAGAATGTCTTAATGAGTAACTTTTCTTAAGAAGAGTTATTAAGAATGTTAATTCATTGATCGATTGAAAATACTTCACATTCTATCTGACACTTTACTTTCCGACATTTTTTGTACAGAACTTTTCCTTGAATAAATAAGGTCACATTTCAGTAAAGTTTCAAAGCAATATTCGTTGCCATTTTTTTTACAGTTTATTAACCTCCCCAGTCGGTGCTGGGGGGGGGGGCTTTAGGAATGTTGCACTTTTTCATTATACCTGATGTACAGACTCAATCAAACCGCGGTCTGCAATTTTCATGTAATTTTGTTGTGATTAATGCTTCCGAGAATCACATTGTTGTACATGCTAGGGATCGTTATCTCATTATTTTCTGAGTTCTTGTATTCCTTAATTATTGACGGAACATTAATAAAACAATTGAAATGTTTGTCACCACCCCATTTCTAGTACATTGTATATACATAATTCTCTAGAGGGTTGTCGTTATATTTGAATAATTAAAAATGTGTCGTGAGTACAGACTATTCTTCTCATATAGACATGACAACAAGGTGGAAGCACTAAAGCAAATGAAAAACATATGCATGTGGATTGAGTCAATTTATTTATGTATAAACTGTTGTTGTTTTTGTTGTTTTTCTTTGTTTATTATTCTAGGAATGTGAATCTGTTGTCATGGGAACGAAAAATAACAGCAGATCGCCGGTCTATATGGATATCTTTACCTTACCTGATTAGGGGGAAAGCAACCTTAGAAATACCATTGTAATTTGTATTGATTAATTAACAAAGAAATTGTTTGAGAGTGAAGTCAATAGAATGTTATGTGGTTCCATCAAATAATGACAGCGGTTTATTGAATTCTGATAGACAATGCAATAGGCGAGATATCTAATTGATTATTGCTCGTAATTATACGGAAACATTGAATAGAGGATGTTGACTCTGTAAACGATTTTTTCTGGAATATTAATATTTAATATTGAAAGAAAACATCTAGCAGTGATTTATGTGTTTAACGACTTAATGAGTTGCTTTGTGATATGTTCTCCATTACTGTAGTTACAAAATCTGACAGTCGACAGAGTAATTTGTTGACGAACGCGATGTTATATTGTTAAATCAGATATATTCACGTGGTCACAATTTCGCGAAATCAACATTTTATACTAATTTGTTAGGTTAAATACTTTGCGAATTTTTACTTTTTGCAATGTTAGATAAATATGATACTAATATATACTTTTATATGATATATACTTTTTGGAACTTTTGGAAACAATAAGAAAATGGCGATTTAATCCTTTGCGAAAATTCTGATTACATCATTTTTGAAAGAAAATGTTCTCTGCGTTGCTTTGCCTACGTTCGCTAATTGATAATTAAAAATAGTTGCGTTTTATTTATTTAATTAAAATATAATCTATTTTTCACTGTATGTAAATATGTTCTGACCACTACAACCTTTTTGATTTATAATATATTTGTCACATGTTGACCCACTATTTTTCTATAGTTTGGTACCCAATAACAAAATGCCTGTCATTTAACAACGTTCGCCTACTTAATCATTATTTTCCTTCACAACATAACACATTTTGTTAAATGTTCATTATTTTGCCATTTCATATAATGAATTACCTCCTTTTTACACAAACTTGGCAAGATTCATTTGCAAACAACTTTAAAGTGACAATATGCTCATTTTTTGTTGTTAGCTGAGCTGAACTAGCTATATATATTACAAAAGGCTGACTTTTATAATGGACATTGGCCAATAATTAATTAATATGATGAAAGATATAAAATTTGAAAGTTACTGATATTTCCAGAAATATTTATATAACTTTTTCTGGAATTCATATGGGTTATTACGTGGATGATACACGTGACATGGTATATAAAATTGAAAATAGTTATGGCAAAATGTAAGTTATTTTCACCTACACAACAACCATTTACACTTAGATGGACATAATGTCATTGACACATGATGTCAATGTTTTTTATCAATCAAGGTCCCGCCCAGTTATTCAAATTATATCTCGCCAAAACAAAACCTACCCCCGCTCGACCGCCTGCAAGACAATCCATTACGCCATCTTTGTTTAAATCGACTTCACAGTTAAGTCCGTAAATTTCATGATCCGAATAGTGCCGCCATAATTCTTTTCCACTGGCTCCCTCTAGCGCTAACAATCCTCCAAAACATGGGTAGGAACCAGGGAAGTAAATATCACATACAATGCTAGGAATGTTGTAGCCATCTGCACCTAACGTTCGAAAGAATTCAAATGAATGAATATAACGATATAGAATATTCATAAAAAAAAACATGCATATATTGCAAAGAAATCTCAAGACATTCATTAGTATTTATAAGAGTTGCCTGAAATGTTAAAACACTTATTTCGATTTGAGATACCCTATCTTAAATAGCTGAAGGAGAAAATCATATAGTAATACCTGTTGCAAATCCCACAATGATGTCTAGTACGCCATCTTGATTAACATCAACCAATCGGAATGCAGATTCTGTCAATAATTTAGGTATACCTACAGTCCAAACATCCTCAACTTCTATATGATCACAACCGACAATATCCGAATAATCCCGCGTTATTTTCTCATTAACAAAATTGAAAGCACCTGGTGAAATCACTTTATTAAATCCAGCTTTATTTTGCTCGTGTTTGTTTACAAAATACACAACAAGACCCATTAAAGAGCCCAATGAAAGCACCAAGAATAGAAAACATGAGACAGCATTTACTATTGGTCGGCATTTGCGGAGTCGGCCACGCCCAATTTTTGTTTTCGTCCTTGACCTTGGATACATTAAAGGTTTTGTTGCACAATCTTTGTCTATGCTTGGACTTTCAACAAACACTTCATCCTCTTCGGAATATTCATTTTCCCAATCAGGAGGTTTTTCAAACCCATCTGGCAGGTAGCCATTCTTTTTACCTCCCTTGTTATATCTCACGGTCATCGACAGAGCCTCGGTTTCGTAAGCAGACATGTTCCGCTGTTGTCGTAACTGTGACTGTTCGGAGAAAAATTACCTTAAAAGGTAGAAATAACAGTTGGCGGTTTAAAAGTGATTCGAAGTTCGGTAGGCCATCTTAGAGTTATGAGGTAAAAGTGTTGATCTGAGATAACCTAGGCACTTTTTTTTCAGGAATCTGTCATAAATAATCTGTAACAAAGAGGAAGAAAACTCATAATTATTAATCTGTTTGCCGTCGATCTTCAGAAAATACGTTGTAATAGTTTCAGAATATGTTAAAGCCACATTGTGTCTCAGAAACAAGTACGTTTTTTTTCTCTATAAAGGGCAAATATGAATTTTATAATGTTAAACTTATGGTTTAGAGCATGTTACATGCTTATCACCAAACGAAAGAAGTGCTAAACATAAAAATAGTTGTCGTAAAAGTAACAAAATGTAAACAAAGAAGTATTTTGTCTTCCATACAAAATATCAAACAAATATAACTTATGAATTACTAAAAAGCAACAGAAGGAAAAGATGGTGCAATAGTGTCAATTAGTTACTTTAAAAAAAAATATATCAGGACATCAAAAATTAAAAAAAATGTATCTTTTGAATAGGGGACGGCGCCGAAGTGATTCTTATTTCTATCTTTTCTTAGTGCAATATTAGTATTATATATTATTTTAAAATGGATTTAGAGCATGTTTGGCGATTATCATCTGAAGAAAGTAGCGCTGTATATAAACTTTTGTGTCATAAAAACAAAACAAAAAACAACAATATATTGTCATCATGATATTATGATTTTCATCGAAAGGAGCTAGGTTCAATAATGCGCTGGTACAACATAGGCAATAGGTAACTTTCGTTTATTGGCGTTTATTACATTTAGACAGCCATGCAAGCCAAATGTGAAAAAGTGGAAAAGAGAAGAAAGGGTATGAAAGAAATAAAAAAACATAGATAGCTTTTAGAGAAGCCCAAACAGAAGTGATATATGATTTACTTAAAAGTTTGCATCATATATTAATAATAAATTTGTGTTCATTTTTATTTCATAAAAGCTATATTTGTGTAATTTGCAACGCACGACAATAACATAACTTTTGAATTGCATACTATATTTACCTAACGCGCTCATTAATGCCAATGCTCGATTTAATATTACTTTTATCTTTTTCGTCGGTCTAATCTGTAACTCATTGTCATTTGTTATGAATTCATGGATTTTCGGAATTTTACATGTTTGAAGAACATTTCACAAATTAAGATAATACTTTTCACCAAAGGAGATACAAAAGAAAGAGAATTAAACATAATGACATAGATAGCGGATAGCGTTTCCAAATAAAGCTGTCTGAAGACAGAAAAAAATAAAGCTCTTGTTTTCATCAATATTGTGACATAAAGCGAGCGTGAACACAACTGTATTTATAGGAGAACGTCGATCAATATTCCCAACAGAAACATCGGAAAACACTTTGTAATTTGATCATATTTAATTCTTCTAAGAATTTTCCATGCTGTTTTTTTTAATTGGAAGAATAGATATAATTTAATATATTACCATACCTGTATGAACAGTGTCAGAGTCGATAAAATCCAAAGTTATTCGAATAATTCAGCCGATGCAATGGTATACCTAATTCTACGAGAATTTGATCGCCATATTGAGATGGCCGGGATATCAATGACGTCATAACATACACCATATATTGTTTATTACAGGCAGTGTCGCCTAAAACGGAATGGTTGGTAATAAAGCAAGATATGATAATCCCGCTGGGTTAATAATTCATGTTTGGAAGTTGACAATTTGTCGTTTCTTATCTTTTAATGTTCTCAGTCGGTATTTTCTCATGGAAAGATTATGACGATATTATTGATGATTTATTCGTCTGATAATTAGCGATTCCTCATTAATTCTGTCACTTTTAAATACGTGATGTATTATATTCCATCCAGAAAAGGTTATTGGCGTATTTTATGATGTCTTGTCATTATTTAGTCGTGTCGTATAAAATGATACAAGTTGACAGCACACTTTTATTTCAAACATTTATGAAAACAGAACGATATGAACATTTACTGATTTTTTAATATTTATTCAATTTATTTTTCAATGTTACATGTGTTATTTAAAGACTTAATATGTTGTAAATTTGAGTTATTAAATGAACAACTTTGATACAGATGCATTGACGAAGTTTTGACTTGCTCCCGAGCAGTTAAAACCAACTGTTTTTATTAAGATTGCTGCAAGTTAAACACATGTTTAATAAACACAATTAACAGTACCCGTTTAGCACCACGTTATACTTGATGCAATTATTCCAGAAATTATTTTCTAAAATAGCGTGACACTTTAAAATAATCCGTATCCGCAAAATACTTGTACGTTGACTATATTCAAAAGAAACACATATCCAGATATCTGCAGAATCGCTGATAATTCCATCACATTGTCAACTGGGATTCATGAAAAGTAACAATTATCAGCTCCGGTATCCGCATACTGTTTAAGTACGGACAATAGTCCACCCACATAGAATGGTACTCGTAGTGATTTTTCTATAGGAAATCGATTGACTGGTTGTTCATGAAACATAAAATCCAATTCAGTACGTGTGTCAAGTCATTAGGAAGTTTTCCTGTAAACAGAGTGAGTGAATTATTAGAAATTGTTGATGTCCCCATATGCACTACAGCGTGTTTGATCAGCTAAATATACAGTAAATTGTTATGTTGACATTTTCTTCTGAGGATTGTGGTTTCGATTTCCCCTGTGGATATTTTAATTAATATCAGTCCTTGATAAAGTTGTAATTTGATATGCATTAAAACGATAATTGAATCTTTTTATTTTTCGTCTTAAATAAATAAATGGTTTTGTAATAAGATAAATAACTAAATCCAATACAAATAGATAGATAAATCCAATATAAATAAATTAATAAATAAATAAATAAATAAAGTAATAAATAGATAAATAAATAAATAAAAGAATGAATGAAGGAAGGAAGGAAGGAACACGAATGAATGAATGAACAAACAAAACAAACGTAACCATATATAAAATTAATGACAATATTTTAACCCTTACCATTCTAAATAACCTAAATAACCTTAATTTGCCCACCTTTGAATCTAGACAAAACTATTAACCATTTTAAGGGAAAATTTCAAAATTATGCATTAACTGTATAGCATGGGGAACAGTGCAGACCATGGTCAGTTGGTACCGATGTGCCGTGTCGGCTGATCTTGGTCTGCACTATTTGCAAATGATATATCAGATATCGCAAGCAGAGCCGGGGTTAAACAAAATGTACATACCGTACTTATTTTTCAAAATTCCTTCATTGAATCGAAACATTCCAATGTTTGCGCCAATCCCTGGTTTAAGATGATTAGTAATTCGGTTCCCAATTAGCTGAAGTAATCACATCCGCTTATATAACTTTTTATAGAAGCACATATCAATTACACATAATCAAAGGGACATCACTCTCATTGAATATAAATATCAGTCCAAATATGTCAAAATACGAAAATAATGAATAATTCTTGCTGTATCTACGGGTTTTATCTTTTTTGTGTGCAAATTCTGATTACGTAAGCTAATAACTATGGACGCACTTAGAAGACATATACGAAAAATTTCTCCTTATTTCTTCTGTTATTATAACTATGTATTTTTTTATAATATATTGAATACACTGGTAGAAATTATATTTGTATGTACTTAATGTAATATGGGCATGTCATAACAATTAATACCTTTCATAGTTGAAAATAAGATGCAAAATGGATTCATACATTTAACAATAGCAAAGAACCATATCTTACTTGGGCACATTACAAAACAATTGAAAATATTTCTATAACATATTTTTAGAAATAATCTCGCCAACTTAGAGATTGAACTTTTCTATTCAATTTGTTTTTTTCGACCGTAGCTGATTGTTTTCACCATCACATCCGATGAATTGAAGGGCTATTTGCCATCACTACCCGCAATTTTCCGTACTGGTTATTTGTGTGCTATGTTGTTATTAGATATCTGAAAGTATTGTGAATATATTTAGATACACTGATTTTAAATTATAGATTTAACCAAATAAGCCGCTTAAACTGCATTCTTTTTAGTAAGTAAATAAAAATATACATAAGATATGTTATATCGGGCAATGCTTTGTAGAAGTATGCAGAAATAAGCACACATTTTGGTAAAAATCTTCATATTATTTATCACTCTACGCAGCGAAAATTGACCAATTCAAAATATCAAAAGTCAAGTTTGTAGTTTTTCCGAAATTTATGTAAACATAGTTTTCTACAGCACAACAGATCGGACGAGTCATTTTGTTGCAAACAATGATATCTAACTGTAATGTATAGTATGAGATAAATACAATCATCATTTGAAAACCAACATTGGCGACAGATTAATTTTGATGTCGTATGAAACTTATAGTAATCATAATTAGGTAGCTATGATACGTAAATAGAATTTGATTAAATGCTTATTTGTAAAGAAAAACAGTCATGTCATTTTAGGATAGTGTTTAGGAAAAACGTACATTTCAAGAATAATTGAATAAAAAATGAGGTTTTACTTTATAATTAAGATCAATATTTGAAGTTATGCTATTTCAAAATGATTTATATGTGTGGCTGATTAAACACTATATAAGCTAAGAAAATACGAAAACACGAATAACAAAACGCAAAATTTTTTCATATCTTATTGTTTTAAACTTTTCCCCCCAGATCAAAAAAGGCAAAAAAAAATCATTTAAAAATTTTATTTTATAAAAGGGAAAGGGGAGGTCGGCTCTCGGGCCCCAAATTTTATGTATCTTTTTGGGAAAAGGGGGTTTCCACCGACCGCCGCACTCTTTTATCATATGGGGGCCCAGCAAAGAATTTCAATTTTTGATAAAAAATCACTCAAAGGGGTTTTGGTTTTTTACTATTTTATTTAAATTTACTTTCAAAAATTCTTATTTGAGAAGATGTTATCATTTTTTTGAGGGTTTTAAAGGTTTTATTTTTTTATCTTGGGTTTAAAAAGTTTAACCAAACATAAATTACACCAAAATTACCCCCTTTAAAATTTAAATTTTGTATTATCTTTCAGGGAAAAATATTCATTTTCGATTTCGATCGAAAATCAGTTTTTTAAAATCCTTTTCACGCCACTCTTTGAAAGGTTAAAACATTTTATGAGGTAAGCTTACATTTATTGTCCCTTTTAACAATAACATACCCTTTCCATTAACAAAATATTAAAAATGACATGAAATTTTTTTATAATCATATGCCCCCAAAGGTGGATATAACATAACGTAAACCCGAGAAAGGTAATTAGTTGCCGATGTTTGAGGGAAAACGCGTAAACTAACTAAAAGACCCCCAACAAGCGAAGATCAAAATTATTTATGGCAAGGGGTGATTAAGGATGCATATGAACCCAATTGAAAGAAGCAATGTTACGGATTTATAATAAAAATATATGTTCATTGAAACTGGCAACCAATGACCTTACAGCGTTTCCCAACCACCGTGAGATGTTCAAATGAACTTATTGGGGGTTGGTCCAATCTTATTCAATGAAGCTTCGGTTTGAATTCCAGAGTCCAAACCCAAATCCACAATACATTTAAACACAATTTTACCCAATTTAGTCTCACTTAAAATTTTCAGTGTTTCAAAAATCTATCTTTGTTAAGCCTTCGTTCCATATCAAGCCCCAAAATATTTATATGAAATCCTTATTGTACTAGATGTAACAAAGCTCTTTCAAAGTGTAAAAAACATGATTGTGTTTAATTAAGAAATCGTTATACATTGTTGAGTATAATACTGATTTTGTTAAGCAATATAAATCAGTATTGTACTGAAAAAGGTATAATTACCTTATAATATAATTACTCTTAATAGACGTAAAACTCAGTTTAACTTTATTTGCCTTTATTTTGTATAGTGAAAAGGCATTAATAATTTTACTATATTTATGTGTTTGTCAAATGATTATTAACAACATATTTTGTAGCACAACAAATTTAAAAAAATTTAACCCAATTCATTTATATTTCGCATTTATCCATAATTTGTTTTAGGATCTAGATAAGGTATTACCGCTATGCGACTTCATCAAAATAGGTGACATCTTTGATACTTGATACGGTGGCATTTTAAATGTTCAGAATCGGTGATCAGTGTCAAAAATTTGCAATGGAATATATTTGGGGAAATCCAAGAATTCTTTTCCATGTCAACACATTTTTAAGAAATGCTCTTTCCTTTGATAACTAAACATTGTGTAGATTATACCGTAACACAAAGAAAGCCTCTTTCCATCCCAAACTGTCTACGGGATTGTAAAAATACGACAAAAAAAGGAAAACCACAGTATTAGAAGATCATCTCAAAGTTTCCCCGAAAAGCCTAGCTTTTAACACTTGTTTTTATTTCGATAGAGGAAAAACCAAGAAGCCATTCTGATGAAGCTGTTACAGATTCAGAACATGAAAAATGTACAAATTCTACTGACAAAAATGTACAACATGATGCGCAAGAGATCCAGAGACAGTCCTATGTGTTATTCTATTTTATTCATGGCTTATTCGGTTTTTTACGTGATGTGCCTGTTTCCTATTCAAATTCACTTAAACCCGGGTTTT